ACGCGATAAACGAAAGATTGCATATATACTTACGATTATAAGTTTTTTTTTTTAAAAAAAATATTTATTAATTATATTTACTAATCATTAATTAACGTACTTAAGTTCGGAAGTTTATTAAGTGTATTACAGCTAGCTAACTTCGAAAATCGCGATTTAATAAAACGATAAAAGCTTTTATCGACGATTTAAAGCATCTTTTAACGAAAAGCTTAAAGCTTGTTTTAAATATTATTATAAAATAAGATTTTATATTTTATATACTTAATCGATTTATAACTCTTAAAGATATTATTCAAAGATATTATATAAAGATCGATAAAATAAGTATTTTTAAATTATTTAATACTTAATAAAAGCAAATCTTATAGCTAATCGATATCTTTCGACCGTTTTACTTTTTAATTATACACTTAAGTGAAGAGCTTAATCTTATAATTCAATACGGATTTTTATTATTCGATAAAATATTCGAACGTTTAAATAAAGCACAAGCACGATTAAAGTTTAAATATATAAAGATTTCGAAAAAAAATCGCAATAATTTTAAATAAATCTTATAATTAAAAGAAAGCGTTATCAATGTTATCGAGAAATTAAATAAGTATTATTAAAAAACGCAAAAGCTGTTAAAAAAGATATTTTTGCTTTCGTAATAATCTTATATTTTGCTATTAAGCTAAAGACTTTCGACCTAAATTTTTTTTAGCTTTACGAAAGTAAAGATTAGTTTACAATATATCGAGCGAGATTCGAAAAGCTTTTTAACGAATATTATAAGTCTTTAATATCTATAGCTTAACGTATTAATAATATTAAAGCAATCGATCGTCAACCGATAGCCGCTTTATTACTTTGCGGCAAATTAATACTAAGTTCTTTTTTACAAGCTTCTTTCGATAATATAAATCACAAGTCGTTAAAAGTGCATAATTATCTTTTAGCTCGTAAGTTTAAAATTTTAATTCAAAACCTTAATTTTATTAATTTTTATTAATTAAGTTTAGCGGTCGACGGACGAAAGATTTCAACTTTTTAACGAAACCTTAAGCCTCGATACTTTGATCTAGCTTGAATAGCTAAAGATTTTCTATGCATCTCTTTAACTAATGTTTGCGTAAAAAAGGTATTTAATATTACAAAAGATATTTGCGATTATCGTCGCGATAATTTATCGCTATTAATAATCGCAAAAGAAATAACTGTGAAATTTGAATGAGGAATTGGGGTAAAGAAAAGACGAGTCCAAATTGCTTTGCTTGCTTGCTTGCTTGCTTGCTTGCTTGCTTGCTTGCTTGCTTGCTTGCTTGCTTGAAGTAAATACAGAAGACCTTTCAAGGTCTTATATAGACTATTAGGTAGTTCTAGAGCCTTCTATATGACTCATAGAATACGTAATAGTATTACAAATCAAAATCAAGTAGAATGTTCCTGAAGGTTCTAGTAGGTCACCTGACTTCGCTTAGAAAGTTCTAGAAGTACTGATTACAAATCAACACCTTAAAATATTCTAAGCAAAGTAATGATTATAAATCAACACGCTCCTTTAATCATTACTTTAATAAGCTAGATTTAAATCAGAGCTTATACAAAGAAAACTATTTAAGTGCGCCACTTAACCCCTATAAAAGCTAGTTTTAAAACAGAGCTTTTATACCTGCAATCTATTTATTTCTTAACATAATTAAGAAAGTTGCAATTGTTTAACAAATTCGTTAAACTTAAGCTTATCGAGAGCTTTAGTAAACCCGTCTGCCTTTTGATTCAAAGTTCTTATATAAACAAGGTCTATAATACCTTTGTTTATAAGATCTCTTATATAATGATATTTAACAGCTATATGCTTTGTTCTCTCGTGAAAAACAGGGTTTTTAGCGAGTAATAAAGCGCCGTTATTATCAGTATATAAAGGGAATTTATCTTGCATATAATAGCCTAATTCGGTAAGAAATTGCTTTATATAAACAGCTTCCTTAGCGGCCGAATTAATCGCCATATATTCAGCTTCAGTAGTGCTTTGAGCTATTATACTCTGTAATTTTGATTTCCAACTAAATAAGCTAGAGCTTATATAAAAGTTGAAACCGCTAGTCGATTTTGCTGTACCAATATCTCCAGCGTAATCAGCATCGCAATAGCCACTAACGAATTTATTAAGGCTTCTTTTATAAATTAGCCCTAGTTTTATAGAGCCTTTTAAATATCGTAAGATATTTTTAAGACCTATAATATAGCTTTCGCTAGGATTGCTTGCGAATCGAGCTAGCTTAATTACAGCGTAGCAAATATCGGGTCTAGTTGCTAGCGTCAAGAATAAAAGGCAGCCTATTACTTGCTAAAACCACGTGATCTCTAACGCGCTAGCCTTATTAGGATTAGGCTCTAATTTAGCCTTTGAATCCATTGGTATTGGTTTAAGCTTGCAATCTAGCATATCGAAACGATTCAAAATCTTAATAATATAAGATTCTTGGCTTAATTTCATATAGCCTTGCTTAATATCGTATTCGATATCGATACCCAAATAATCTTTTATTAGCCCTAAATCCTTTAATTTAAAGTATTTTTAAAGTTCTTTAATAAAGGATTTTATTGTATCGATATTCGGACTAATAAGTGCTAAATCATCAACGTAAACGCTAATGATTAATTTTAGCTCTTTATTATACAAAATACAGCTATCAGTTAGTAAAGGCGTAAAGCTGAATTTTTATATAAGCACTTCTTTTAACGTGATAAACCATAAGCGAGCTGATTGTTTCAGTCCGTATAATGCTTTATTAAGCATTAATAGCTTATTCGCGTATTTAAAGCTATTTATTCCTATTAAAGGAATTATATATAGCTCTAAGTCAATATCGCTTTAAGTAAAAGCTGATATCATGTCGATTTTATATATAAACCAGCCATATAAAACAGCTAGCGCAAAAATTAAGCGCCAAGCCATTTGTTTGACAACGCTAGCAAAGGTATCTATATAATTTAAGCCGTATAATTGCTCAAACCCCTTAGCCACGAACCTTGATTTAAATTCGTAAGTATCGGCACCTTGCTTGATTTTATAAACCCATCGAGTTTTTAAGGGTTTAATATTATTGCTAGCGCTTTTATTGACTACTTTCCAAGTATTTTGGCTTTCTAATGAATCTATTTCATTTTGCATAGATTTAAGCCAATAGTCCTTATATAAGGCTGAGTTTATAGCTTCCTCATAGCTTTTAGGCTCTAATGGCGGAATGCTAATAGAGGATTTTTTAATAGTTACTTTAGAACTATTTTTATCGCTTAATTTAATTAGCCCTTGATCGAGATTTTAATCAGTTTTAGAGCTAATTAAAGCTATTGAAGCTAAAAGAGTTACGTTCTTGTAAACCGACATAGCTTGTGTTTGCTCTTCGATTAATCGATTATTTAGCTCTGTAATAGCTAAATTAAAAGAGTTATTTTTACTCGATCTAGTAATTACGTTTGGTTTTTGATCGGAGTAATCTTTCGCCGGGCCCCGAGTTTTAAGAGCCTTAGGCGCTTCTACGGTAGCCTTATTAAGATCATCTGTATTTAGATCACTAACGCGAGATTCAGTGTCGTCAAAATAAGGTTGATCTTCGGCTTCTTCTATTTCAACGACTCTCGGCTGGCTAATATTCGGCTGATTATTACTAGTATTATCGATTGATTTAATACTAGTAGTAAAATCATCATCGCCTTTAGTAGAAAGTAACTCTTCTTCGATTATATCGAAATAATCGCTCTTTTCGTTAATTAGTTCGTCCTTAAATTTAAGGTCTTCTTTAATAAGAACGTTTTTTAAACTAATTACGACTCTTTTACTCGGGAAGTAGATCAAGTAATTATTAGCTGATTCGAAACCAACTAATAGCCTCTTTTCATCTTTATCGGCCAATTTATTGTCTCGCTTATTTTTTAATATATAAGCTAGAGAACCTAGTATTTTAAAGTAGCCTATATAAGGCTTTCGGCCGTAAAGAGCTTCGTAAGGGGTCTTTTTAATAACCGAGTTATAAAACCGATTTTTTATATGAGCTATCGCTTGCAATAATTAAGGCCATAAAAATAAAGGTATATCTCTATCCTTACATACGCTTATTAAGCGTTCAATTAAGTAACGATTTAATCGTTCGGCTATGCCGTTTTAAGAAGGTGAATAAGGACTAGTATATTCGCAAATTATACCTTTGCTTTTGCAAAACGTAGTCCATTTATTCGAAGTGAATTCTCCTGCGTTATCTAATTTGAATACCTTTATATTAAAGCTAGGTTTTCGATCGAATTGAGTTGTAATCATATTATAAAATTCAACTAATCGATCGAATATATCAGCTTTAAATTTTAAAGCGTATAGCCAAATGGCTCTAGAACCTCTGCACGTGAAAGTAACGAAAAATCGTTCCCTTAATAAGCCTTTAATTTTAAAAGGCCCTGCTATATCTATATCGAAAGCAGTTAAAAGGGGTGAGTCTGACATAAGCTTTTTACTATTCATTTGAGTAATTTTGCCACTTACGCAAGACTCACAATTTTCAAGATTTTATTCAATAGCTTTAGAAAGACCTTCGCTATTATCGATTGTTTTTAAAACAAAATCTTTATTTACGTGCAATAAGCGCTTATGATAAAGGCCTAATTTGGTAGTCACAAAAGGATCTACCTTAAATAATAAAAGTACTAGGTATTTATCATTAATTTCGACCTCCATAAAATAAGCGTTATTAGCCCATTTTACGTTAATATAAGGTTTAAAAGAAGCATAAGAGATTTTAGCTCCATTTCGATCGAAATTAATAGCCCAGTCCTTATTTGTAAGCTCTTTTGAACTTATTAAGGTCGTTTTTAGCTTAAGAATATAATTGACGTTTTTAATTATAATCTCTAAGCCTGTTTTCGACTTAATAAGGATATCACCTATGCCTAAAATAAGCATAATATCGCCATTAGCGATAATTATAGACTTCTTAACTATTAGCTTATAATTTATAAACCAAGCTTTATTAGGCGAATAATGCTCTGAGGCTCCTGAATCTAATACGAATTCATTATTATTCGTAATAGAATAAGCTATGCCAAAGTGATTTAATTCACTATTAAAGCTAAAATTAGTAAAAGCACTCATTAGTGCTTTACTAGAGCCATTCTTAAAGTCTTTATCCCTAGCCGATATAGCCTTATTATTAAGCTTTTTATTAAAGTTCGGCTTTAGTTCGGGGTGCAATTTAAAACAAGTTGAATTTAAGTGCCGCTTTTGCTTACAATGCGAGCAATATTTAGCGTTATTTTTAAACGCTTTATTTGCTTTTAAATCCGCGCTAGTACCCATTCGAGCCTCTTCTGATAATAAATCAGATATAAGCGAATCGATATCTACCTCTTTGAGGTTACTAGATATTTCCTCAAATTTTCTAGAAGCGAAGCTATCAAAAGAGCTAGGTAAACCCTTGAATATAAAGCTAGCTAATACTAGCTTGGGAATTTCATAATTCATCTCTTTAAGATAAATTGCACTAGATTGAATAATACTAGTATATTCATCTATATTTTTACAAGAGCTATAAGTTGTTTCGACCA